TCTAAAAGCACAAACTGTCCAGTTTAATGCTGGGGGGTTTTTTGTTGTTGTTAAACCTAAAAGCGTGGTAAATCTTGAGGTGTGTTTCTGTGATGCCTAAATACCCATCTCTGTTTCTCTCTGTCCCACCTTTACTTGAAGGATTTTAAGCTGGATGAATTATACTTTCATCTTTGATAAAATGAGTTCTTTGAAGTGATATTTTGGCTCTGTACAGGCGAAACCTCAATTTCCAAACTTAAATATCTGAGGAGGCCAAAGCCCTCAGATAACAGAATGCATTTCTTACTTTTCAGGTTAGCATGCTGGCATCCTACCAGCACAGCCTCTAATATCAGTCTAATCATTAACAAGAATCTTGGGTATAGTGCTGATTTATTTTGATGAGGCTTTTTCAATGTGAAATTATAAAGAACCACTCTTCCAGGTAAGAGAAGCAAGAGAAACAGATCAATGAATGGGTCTGAAAGGAAAGCACACAGTCTGTTTCAGACTCAACTGCCTGAGGTCCACACCACAGAAATCTTGTCACTTTTCCAGACACTCTGATACCTATTTCATAAACAGCAGGTTTTGAATCCAATCTCTAAAATTACATAGTCACACAGAGTTAAAGCTATACAGGTCCCCGTGAGATCATTCTCAAGCAGAGTGCATATTTTAAAAGGAGGAATCTGAGCCAGAGCTGCAGTTTTTAGGTTCCTTTGCCTCTCTCAGTCTTGGTCTCCTCCCTAAACAGATCTGGGTAACAGTCAGAACCTCACATAAATGACTTGGGGTTCTCTCAGATCTGAAAGGTCCTGAGCCCTTTCCAGAAAGACCCTTGCCACACACCTGAGGTGGAAGGGTGCCCCATCTTAGGAAAACAACATATGTAACCTGAACTCTTGACCCCATAAATCTGGGCCTTCAATATTCTCTTCCAGAATTTTCCACTTAAAAGAACTTACCACTAGATTCATTTTCCCCCCAAAGATCCCTCTAAGACTTTTAAATTTTAATTGGAAAAATTTCACACTTTTAAAAACCACATAAAACCATTTTAAAATGTTCAAATTTTTTACCATGTATATTAGTTTGCTTTTTGAACCTGAAAAAAAAGACAATAAAACTAGTTAACACAAAAAAAGTAAAGGAAACAAAATTTCAAAGGCCCTGAAAAAGTCGTAAAGCACCAAGAAGGCAAAGATTTTGTGTTATACTTCTTTATATGCCCCCCAGATAATCAGACCAACATTTTGTTTTCGTTATTGTGCACATGACTGATAGTACGATTTTGGAATAAATCAATAAAAAACTATTTTTTAAAGTAAAAAGCATGCTTTTCTTAATTTAGTGCTTAAACCTGGCATTTCAATGGCCCACTTACTTTTAAATGGATTAATAGAAGGAAGTCAAGAACTGTTGATTAATTTCTAGTTGCCTTAAAGAACAAGCGAGAACATTCTTCCTCAGGGCAATTCACTTCTCTTCAGATCTCAGAAAACAGTAAATGCGAACATGCCTGAATTTAAGCCATTGAACACAAAGCACGTACGACAAGTACTTCTGAGCAAATTTCAAGCGTCTGATCCTTTCTAAACAGACACACAGGTGCAAAAATTTGGAACATTCTATTTCCGAGACAAGCATATCTGTCAGGCTCCTCTGAAGCCTGAAGCCCAGGAAAGGCCTCAAGCACTTTGCATGTTTCTGAGGGTGTCTTTACAGCTCCTACCCAGGGAAGCAAATGAGCAGAGAAGGTTCTCACCACACACCCGTTCAGTAAAAAGGCCTCTGCTAATTTGCATCATCTAAATGGCTAAATAAGTTTCAGAGTGTGTTTCCAAAAGACTTGCTTTTCACTTTGTTTAAGTACAAGGACGTCTTCGAATCCCCCTGCACTGAAAGCTGGGGCTTCTCACAGGCAGGGAGCAGGCAGAAAAGCCAGAGAACAGGAGAGCTAACCTGGCAGGCAGGCTCCAGGCTTTGCGGGACTGTCACCTCCACCAGCAGACATGTCACACAGTCACCCCTCACACGCGTCACACACAGTCACCCCTCATGCACAATGTCACAGTCACCCCTCACATGCGACACACACAGTCCCCCCTCACACACATCACAGTCACCCCCTCACGCACAATGTCACACAGTCACCCCTCACGCACAATGTCACACACAGTCACCCCTCACACTCATCTCAGTCACCCCTCACTCACAATGTCACACAGTCACCCCTCACACACGTCACACACAGTCACCCCCCACAGGCATCCGTCACCCCTCACGCACAATGTCACACACAGTCACCCCTCACACACATAACACAGTCACCCCCACACACCACATCACACAGTCACCCCTCACGCACAATGTCACACACAGTCACCCCTCACACACAACATCACACACAGTCACCCCTCACACACAGTCACCCCTCACACTCATCTCAGTCACCCCTCACTCACAATGTCACACAGTCACCCCTCACGCACAATGTCACACACAGTCACCCCTCACACACAACATCACACACAGTCACCCCTCACACACAACGTCACACACAGTCACCCCTCCACAAAAGCACGAGAAGGTTTAACTCTGGAAAGGCAGGGTGGCACAAAAAAAATGATCTCAGCATGGGTCTGAGGGTCAGGGGTTGGTTGTGTGGCCGCCAGGCTGAACACTCAAGTTTCCCACCTGTGTGTCCCAGTCGGGTGTTGGGAGTGTGTGTGGGCATGTGTGTGCCTCTGAGTGAAGGGCAGCAGTGTAGACAGAAGCAGCACAGTCCAGAGACGGGGACTGAGTGTTGACTGAACCTCAAACAGCACCAGCTCGGGTTTTGTCTGTAAAACACTGAACAGCCCAGCCGAAAGGCCCAGTCAATCAAGTTGTCTGGCCTTCTGTAGACAAAATATCCATCTCAGGTAATCAAGTGATTTTTGACCCAAGGAACAGATGTTGCGGTGTCACTGATAAGGCTCCACCATAACAATCTGTACAAAAAAAGAAAACTGAGTTTATCACTCAACCAAAAACTCAAAAGTCCCTAGGATCCCATAATTTCCAGCTGGCTACCCACCCTTCCCTCCCTCCACCGCCCCCCCCAACTCACCCTCAGCCTCATGTGATTCAGAAAACGAGGCTGGCAGGGGATTTTTTTCCCTGGCCCTATTCTGTGGGTGTCTGAAACCTTATTTAAAGGAGGGAGGTAAGCTGGACAGCCGGCAGGCCTCATTTCCACCTCTGGACCTGTTCGCTAACTTGACACCACTCAACCCTCTGGTTTCTCAGCTGGCATCCCTCTGGCAAATGAAAAAAAAAGAAAGAAAATGATCACCTGTCATTATTTATCTCCCCTTTAACTCACTTCCAGACAAGAGCCCTTTCCAAACATCAGGACACACAAAATACTTTGAGAGCCAGCCAATAGGAGCTGCTAATCCACCACTAGAAAGGGCAAATGGAAAGTTGGAGAACAAGTGAAAAAAAACTTGGCTGTGCCAGCTATGCTTCACGGTTTAAAAAGCCAAAGAGAGGAGAGGAACAGAGGACCATCTCATGGGCCTTTAATTGTGGACAAGAGGGCAGAGAAATCTGGGCCATACCTTCAATGAGAAGCATATTCCACCTTCCCTTTACCACCATCCCCTTCCAGGTGAACCGTCCCTCCTCTAAATAATGTGTCCATGTCAGATGCCCTGTGCTGGCCACAAAATGCCAGGGTGATGGGGACCACATTTTGCATATACATTTTCCCCCCTACCATCAGCAGAAAGCCGAGACTCATGAAAAGAAACGCTTGGTCTTCTAAGATTCAGACTGTGATTTCTGAAGTGGGAGTGTGATAGAAATATGCTTCAGAGTCCAAAATACCTTACAAAAGAATGTAACGTAGAAATATAAAGTTCTCAGCTGCTGTGGCTTAACATATTGAGTGAATAGTACATGATATTCAAGATTAAGTCGGAAGACTACCCACTACAATAAAAATGCAGACTTTCCCCCAGTGTAGCACAAGAACCCCTTCACACACTGAACGAGGAAATTCCCCAGACTCTGGAAAAGCTTAGAGAAAGTCCAGACCTTTTCAGAAGCGCTAGCTTCAACTCTTACGTCTTCCGTACGATGCTCTGATCCTCCTAAGAGTGAAAACAGCCTCACACTGAGATAAACCGTGTACAGAAATAAACCCCTGTCTACCGCCATAGCCAGAACATGTCAGTGTGCTGAATCACAACAGATGCACTTGGAAATGTACTTGAAATGTACCTGTACCAGACAATAAGCATGTCCATGAAGAGGTATATACCCTAGGGGGTATCACCCAGGTGCTTATCTCAGACAATTCAACCTACTGCAATGTTCTTTCATTAAAGAAACTTATCTCAAAGCATGGTATTCATTTTAAATCATACAGCAAACTGTATCTTACTTCTGTTGGCCCCACAAATATTGCAACATCCTGACAATTTACTGAGATGAGGTGGTTCTTCACCCAATAGACACAGCCATTATCTACAGGTTTCAGGGACCTGTCACAGAATCACATCACTCATTTTCCTGGCCTATTAGTACAGGCTGAGTTACTTTGCTGACGTCTTTGTCAGTTTCCCTTCTGCCTCAATGAATCACAGAATTAAAGTGTTTCGCCTGATCAGACAAAAGCTACAGCTCTGTTCTCTATCTCTGGAGATTAATCAGGAAGCCTTTGGGAACACTCATGAATATGATCTTCTCAAGAAGTGACTGGTGATCTACCAGAGATACCTTTAAAAATGTCTTTTAAGATGTGCATGGAAATAATAACAGGAGTGACTCCAATTTGCTGTCCAAGCTACAAAGTGCAGGGCCAGGGCCTAGGTGCCTCCCCAGGAAATACACCTGGAGAGAATTACAGGTTGGGAGTGCCCCAGGGCCCTGGTCAGGGTCTTCCCAACTCAGTAGAAAGTAAGAAAAAGGGACACACGAGCATGAAAGCAGCACAAGTTCTAGAAAAATCTCAAGGCAAGACATACCACTCTGGGCTTCTGCTGGTCCAGGGTATGCAGGAAGGCAGAGTTGGGGTCCAGGCAGCGCTCAGGGTCACTGGAGATGTCCTCCTCCGAGTCCTCATAGGAGGAGGAGAAGCCAGTGGAGGAGGCAGAGGAAGAGGAGAGTTTCCTCAGCGGCAGGCTGCCCCGAGGGCTTCCCTGCGCCTCCTCCAAGGCCCTGTCCTCCTGGGCATCCGTGTCTGTACCCATGTCTGTGATGATGACGGCAGGGATGCTGTTTCGGCCGCAGGCCTCTCCCAGGGAAGGCTTGTCCTTCTGTGCTGGGGAGAGCCGCTCTGGGCTGAGGTGGGCGTCTCTGCCCTGTGGCTGGCCTCCCCAGGTCCCTTTGGATTGCACCGCTGTGCCACACGTCCAGGCCAGACAGGCTTCTTCCATGGGGCCCAGCCAAACCCTGGAGCTCCCAGGCTGCACGCCCACTGTGTCCCCAGGAAAGCACTGGGGTTCTTTCAGTTCTTTTGCTGCTTCCCAGTGGGGCAACGGCTCCAGCATTCCACCAGAGGAAACTCCAGCCTGCACCTCCCGGGTCCCTTGTTGTGCTGAGCAGCTGCCCCCAAGCAAGCCCAGCATCGCGGACCCTTCATCCACTCTGTTAGAGGCCGGCGGTGCCCCCTTGACCACTAGGGCCCCACTCTGTGTCCCCTCAGAGCCTCTGGAACCCTGCCTGAACCAGGTCGGAGCCTCAGAGAGCTCTGCCGGACACTGCACGTTCCCAGCCCTCTCCTCCGGCCTCAGGTCCGCCACAGGCGCCCCGGAGCCCGGCATGCCACCGGACAGCATTCCCCTCCCCACCTTTCCAGGGGGCTCTCCGCGGCGGGGTCCGCCCCTCTCTGGGGCGAGGCTTGTCTCACTGCCAAGAGACTGCCCCTGACTCTTGGCCAGGGCCTCCAGGGGGTGCGCACCCCCAAGTTCACGGGCCCTCTCAGATGGCTCAATGAGGGCAGGGTCGTGTGGATGCTGTGGAACGGTGGATGTGGCTCGAGCAGCCACATCTGTGTCCATGCTTAAGTTCACTCTGACCAGTCCCAACGAGGGAGCTTGGGAGTTCTGAGTTCCCAACGGAGGAGACCCCGTCTTATCAACTTCCATGGCAGTGGGTGAGCCACAGCGGGGTCTGGCAGGGAGCACCTTCTCCATTCTCTCCGAAGCGCTGGGACCCTGAGCCCCTGATCCTGACGACGCCGCAGGGCGGAGAAAAGGTGCCACTACTCCCTCCATGTCCTTGGAGAGGCGGACGCTGGGCGTGCCTCCTCTTCTCCCGGATTCGAGCTCGGAAGTCTCCGGACATTGTTCCCCCCAGGACTTGGTCCTCCGCTCCTCATTCTGAACCAGGACCCTTCCTGGGGGCTGACTGACGCTGCGCAAGGGGCACGGGGATGGCGAACGAGCCCTGCCCAGACGCGGGCTGCGGGGCGGCTGCGTGGCGGAGCTTTGCGCCTGGATGTGCGCCTCGAACATGCCCACTTTCTGGTTCACCTGCACGTTCTGCAGCTCACGTTGTAGGATTCGAAGCTTCCTCTTGGCCTCCTCCGGCCCGGGCGGGGAGAGGGTACCGGCGGTCACCACCTGCTGCCCTTCCCCTCTTAGACGACCGGCCCAGCCCGGACTGCCCACGCTGCTGCCGCTGCCGCTGCTGCTAGTCAGCCTGCGCCGGCCACTCCGCCAGCCCGGGGGGCTCCCGGGATCCTCCGGTGACAACGACTCAGCTGGGGGGAAGAGGAAAGAGGAGCCACTCCCGGGGCTGAAAACGCTGCCGGGGCTCAACACGGCCCTCCCGGGCGGCGGGGGCGTCTCGTTGCTGCTGGACCGAGGGCCGCCGCCGCTCTTCACCTGGTTGGCGCTATTCATGATCACCAGGCTGTTGAGGGCATAGCAGTACATGGCCATAGTACTGGGTCCTGCGCGCTGCCCGCCGCCGCCGCTCCCGTTCCGGCTCCGCCGCCGGCGTCTCCTCCTCCCGCGGCTCTCGGCTCCCGGCTCAGCCCCGGAGGCCCGGCGGCAGCGGCTCCGCGCGCAGATGGGGCGGCATGGCCTGGGCGACGGGCGGGGGACAAGACAGCGGGCTCAGCCCCCGCCCAGAGGTCCATAAACAACAGCGCCGCTGCGAAGACACAAGGAAAAAAGTCAGGACCCCAGAGGGAGGGTGTGGGGGACGGCTAGGGGATTAGGACGGTCCCCGGCCAGCGGATCCCCAATCTGTCGGGGATCCGGTGCCACTGGATGTCTTATCTACAGGGGCAGTGCGGCACGGCTAGGACACAAACCTGGGGGTGGGGTGGGGGGGCCTCGGTCGTCAGCGCGGTGGTGATGTGATGCGCAGTGTGTGATACGCTTGAAGGTCCCTTCCAATTTCAAACGCTAAGAGTTGTCTCCAGAGCCACGCGGGACGGGCGGGGAACGATGTACAACTACTTGAATCCTATGTGCGGGGCGCGGCAGATTCTGAGCTTTCTGAGAGTGAGGACACCCTCTCCAGCGTCTCGGGGTCTCCTCGGCTTTGCAAACACTGGCTATACCGGGTATAACGGGACAGCTTTTCGCCTCCTCCCTCCCCACCCCGCCCCCCCCTCCCCACCTTGGGCTTCAGGATGTCCTAGCTCCACCCTCTCCTGGCCATCAGGGACCGACTCGGAGGAAAGCTGATGTGAACCTGCTTTGCCCGGCCGCTGCTTGTGCCCGGGTCTGGGGCGACCCCTGCTTGCCTACCGTTTACCTTCCTGACCCTGGCCTTGATGCTGTGTCCCTCGGCCTACGACGGCCTGGGCGCTCGGCAGGGCGGCAGCCGAGACATTTTAAGCACTGGCTTTGTCGCCAGTCCCCAAACAAGTGTGTTTTGTGAGTGTGGGCGCGTCTGCGCGCGCCCGGTGTCGAGGCGCTGCGCGTCCCCTGTACCGGAACCAATACTGCCGCCCCCCACCCCCACCCCGCCGTCGCCCCAGTGGAGGGGCGTGTGTGTGTGTATGTCTGTGTGTGTACGCGCGCGCACGCGTGGGGACAACGAGTCCGCGCTCCACACACATCCCGTGCCCGAGGACGCGGCTGCCTCTGCGGGCTTCGGGACTCGCGCCCACACCGATGGGTGTGCGTCGCTGCAGCAGCGCTGGAGCCCCGGCTCTGCAAACCTCCCGGGGTCCAGCTCTAAGCCTCGAGGCCGCGCGGCCGAGTGCAGGGCTTCTCCGCATCCAGGGCACCCTTGCCCGGAGCCAAACCGGCCGCCCGGCGGCCCGAGCCCGCGGATGCCTGCAGCGCGCCGGGGGAGGCGGCGGAGAGCCAGCGGTCCGGAAGAGCAGAAGAGACGCCGAAAACTCGCCTCTCCCTCCTCTGCACGCCGCCCTCCCCTTGCCCGTCTCCCTGGCCCACCTCTCCGCGCTTTTTCGGATCCCAGATTCCTCAGATTCGCCCCAGAGCAGGCAGTGAAGGGAAAGAGGGTTCGGGAGGCGAGAGCCATTAAAAAGTCGCCAAGCTTACCTGCAGTTTCTCAGATTCCCGGGTCCTGTGCAGACTACATGACCCAGGGACGCAGACCTCGTAGGTGAAAGATGACTTTAAAAGTTCTTTTTAAAAGCTCAGAAACGATTTCCTCACTTCGTTTGGAAGACAAAAAAAGGGGGAGTGGGAAAGAAGAGAAACCGGTCGGCAGGGGCGGGAGATCCGGGCAGTGGCGACGCCGGCCGGCCCTGCACGCCCTTCTGGGCCGTGGAGATACTACCCTGTCAGTGTCTGCTCCCGGCTACTTCAGTGTTTGTTCAATGTGCGATTAAAAAAAAAAGTTGGGGCGGGGGGGGGGTGGGGGATTGGGGGTGGAGGAGGGAGGAGGGAGAAAGGCGGGGGCTTGGGGGAGGAAAGCAGGAAGGAAGTTGTGAGCCTGTCTGGGGTTGAACTCAGCGGAACAAGTTTTTCTTTTCTTCTTTTTTTTTCTATTGCTTGGCAAGACCGAGGGAGGGAAACACTTAAAAAAAAAAGTTTCCATTGTTAGCTAACAACAAAAAAAAAAACCTTTTAACTTCTGCGGGTTAAAAGATATACGATCCATTTTCCACCCCCTATATCGAGCCTCGCTGATGGCTAGCTTTATGAAACTTTATTTTTTTTTGAAAAATATTCTTAATAAAGTTTGAGTGTGCATTTTAAGCAGAGCAAATCATGGGGACCTTTTTAAGCATTTTAAACGGGCTAAAGCCTCACGTAAACGGTTCGTGTTCTTGTACACAAATATGCAAATTCGAAGAAGGTACTTTGTGGGCACCTTGTTGCAGAGTTGCAGATTTTAAATGCATCACAGTTGTATTTTGGAAGACTGGTTGGGCTGTGAGCTGTTGATGGTTTTGCAGTGCAATTGCTAGTTGTATAAACATGCCTTTGCATTGCACATTTTTCTGTTATTAAATGCACTCAGCAAATGTGACATAGGCATATTTTTTTGCATTTCATTCTCAAACTTATTTTAAGAAGAAGGATAGTCCTGAAACTAAGAAGGCCTGGGACCCCTTGCTCAGTCTCCTGCAACTGGATCACTTTCCAAAGACATTTTCCCCCACCATTATCAAATACTACCCACCAGGGCTATTACCCATTTAAGCTCTGGTGCTGCAGGGATGTTTTGCATAATTCCCTAAATCCTAAACTATAGTATTTAGTGGAAAGGAAAAACCAGGCTGCCAGGCTCAGGAAATGTAAAACACTAAAGCCTGAATCAGTCCTAATATTCCTAGTAGTTATAATTTAGATAGAAATTTTGACTTTGCTTGTGGCAAACCTGTCTCTTAATTGTTACAAAAGCAGCCTGCTGCTCCAACAGGAAAGACTCATCTTAAATCTGAAACCAAGAGATCTTTTAGCTAAGAATTCCCAGGAATGAGACAATGTTGAGTCCTACTTGTTTTTGGTTAAATTTATTGATTGATTGATTTTTTGCTGTGCTGGGTCTTAATGGCTGTGAGCAGGCTTTCTCCAATTGCAGTGTGCAGGCTTCTCATTGCAGTGACTTCTCTTGTTGCAGAGTGTGGTCTCCGGGGTGATGGAGCTTCAATAATTGTGGCATGGCTTAGTTGCCCAGGGGCATGTAAAATCTTCCCAGACCAGGGAATGAGCTTGTGTCATGTGCATTGGAAGGCCGATTCTTAACCACTAGACCACCAGGGAGATCCGAGTCCACTTGTTGCCATGTTGAGAAGACTGAGCCTGAGTCCTTTCTCATCCCCTGTGTGAAGTGAGGTGAAGTGAAAGTAGCTCAATCCGGTCAGACTCTTTGCGACTCCAGGGACTATACAGTCCATGGAATTCTCCAGGGCAGAATACTATAGTGGGTAGCCTTTTCCTTCTCCAGGTCCCATCCCCTATAGAAGTAAGAAGTGAAGTTGCTCAGTTGTGTCCGACTCTTTGCAACCCGATGGACTGTAGCCTACCAGGCTCCCCAATCCATGGAATTTTCCAGGCAAGAGTACTGGAGTGGGTTGCCATTTCCTTCTCCAGGGGATCTTCCCAACCCAGGGATTGAACCCAGGTCTCCCGCATTACAGGCAGATGCTTTACCATCTGAGTCACCAGGGAAGCCCACATCCCCTATGGGGCTAAATAAAAAGATCCCAGAGTTTATTCAGGTGTTAACTCAGGACTCGGGCAGTTGCTAAGGCATAGAAGTCAGCCCTACCCTTGTCCCTAATTCGCTTCCCTAGTGGCAAGAAACAGAAGCTGCCCGTTCTCAGGAGACCCATTCCATGGAGTTTATTTCTATCATAGGAGATGCAAACACCCATGTCAGTCAGGTGTTATGGTGGAAACAGCTGGAGGACCTAACAATGCATTCAGTGAACACAAAATCTTAGCTTTCCAGCCTCTGGGAACTCTCACTGTCACCTCACATACCAGATATCACTGACCTTCCCTAGAATTGAGAAATCCGGGCTTCCTGAATGTTCAATGAGCCTGAAGAATTCTTGCTTAAAACGCAGCTAGCAACTGGTTAGGTGTGGCATGCTGAAGAAATTCCTGCCTTGGGCTGGCAGTAGAACTAAATGATCGTTCTACCAGTCCAAAATTCTAACTGTGCCACTAAGGGTGACAGACATGAGGGGAAAGATGGAGCAAAAGCCGTATCTGGAAGCCAGCGTGGTTGGCTTGCATCTTGAAGCAGAATCTAGTAGCCTCCCTTGATTTTACATGAACAAAGAAAAAAAGTTATATAGCACTTAGTACTTAATATTATCCAGGCACTGTTTTAAGTACATTGTACATATTTACACATTTCAATCCTTATAACAATCCTATGAGATACATACTATTATTATCCTCATTTTATATGTGAAGAAATCAAAGCACAAAGTGGTAAGCAATTTGCCACATCTATTCAATATTGTACTGGAGGTCCTAGTCAGTGCAATTAGATGAGAAAAAGAAGTAAAAGGCATCCAGATTTGAAAGAAAGGAGTAAAACTGTATTGACTGACAATATGATTGCCTATGTAGACTATCCTATGGAGGCTACAAAGAAGCTACTAGAACTAATAAATGAATTTAACTTTTTAGTGTATTAGTTGCTAGGACTATTGTAACAAAGTGCCATAGATTGAGTGGCTTAGACAATAGAAATTTATTTTCTCATAATTCAGGAGGCAAGAAGTCTGAGATCAAAGTGTTAGTAGGTATTGTTTCTTATAAGGCCTCTCTCCTTGGCTTTTAGATGGCTATTTTCCTGTATGCCTTCACATGTTCTTCTGTCTGTGTATCTGTGTTCTAATTTCCTCCTCTTGTAAAAACATCAGTCATATTGGATTAGGACCCACCTAATTTTAACTAAATTATCTCTTTAATGACCTTATCTCAAAATATGGTCATTCTGAGGTACTAGGAATTAAGACTTCAACATGTAAATATTGGGGTACACAATT